GCGTGAAGAAAAAGTAATGTAACTAGTAGTGTAACTAATTACTGTTGCCAGAAAGTAAAGTAACAATATTACTTTTGAAAGGAGTAACTAGTAATGAGTAATAATTACATTCTTTGAGTAACTAGCCCAACACTGTGTAAATATATATATATATATATATATATACATATATATATATAAACTTAACTCATTTGGGTGCCCCTATGGATGGACGGCGCCCCTAGCATTTGCCTATTTCTCCTATGCGACGGGCCCTGAACTGTTTTGTGCATATTGTCTAATAAGTTAAAATACTCATTATAGTGGGATATTGTAGGTTATTTATTCCACTTTTTGATTTCAGATTTAGATTTCAATTACTTCTTGAATTTAGAAAATTTCCCAATAAAATTCCAACATAAAACAATGTGAATTTGTATTTTCATAACAGACTAAAAGTAATAATTCTGTGCTAACATTTTCAGAAATGTAAATACTAACTTAATAGTTAAAGAAAGAAAATAAAGTTCATATTTGGGCTCAATTTGAACTTTTGATACCATTTGATACTAACATGACCGTAGACAGTCTACAAAACACACCTATGTTGCGAACAGATATGGCAGACGAGCAACATTATTTCGAACATATCATCGCTCAATTCTCTAACTCTTGACGGGACTGGATGAGTTGTAAAGCCTTTTTTATCCTTTCTTGCCGAGCCGACTCCCCCTACCTCCTCCTCCGCCGCTTGCAGAATTGTATAAAGAACAAAAATCGGGCTGGGGAGGGGGGTTGATGCGCCGAAGCTGAAATCGAGAGGCAAACCCAGGAAAGAGGTAGTATTTTGTACACGGGACTTTCCCCCCCTTCGTCCCTAAAAAGGAGGGGGAAATGTCATATTTTTAAAAGCGATATTTTTAAAATCGAGGATTACGAATAGGCTTAGGCGCCTGTCTCTGAGGATATATATTTTAATTCGTTAAAAAATATGGCCGAGAACGTTCTGGAGTCTGGCCCGCCTTCAGCCAAGAGGCCTAAACTGTCCTCCCCGGCGCTATCTGCCTCAGCCAGCGATGGAAACGGTAAATATTTATTTCGTTTAATTTTTACGATACTGAGATGTTTGACTCACTTGTTGCTTGTTTTTTATGTACCCATGCACGCTGAAGTCTTTAAGCGGGGAATGGGTTTTTCTTTTTAGTTTTGTTGTCAGGCTAGTTTGGGAAGCTAACGACGTATCCGCACGAGATAGCTTTAGCTTGTCATTCCAGCTAGGTTAGCATTAGCGCTAGACCATCGATGTTGGGATTCACTCACAGCGGCTGCACGCTGCTTTCCCTCGGCGAGGGTCTGTGCTTGGTGTCAGCTGGTGTAAATGTAAAACTAACTGGTGCAATGAAAAATATATTGGATCTACAGTGGCAATAACAATAGTGGGATTTATTATTTTTTTCTGTGAAACGCCTGTTTCGGTTTTGTTCCCACTTGCAAAGAGTTTGGATCACTTCTTCAGATAATAAATATAATGAAATAAATAAAATGAATGCATTGATAATTAAACTTCTATGAAGAGCTGCTGAAAGCCAAGTCTTCACATTTCACCAGTACTCATATATTTACTAATAATCGACAGTGATTAACATAAATTAGCCTACTAAACTCTTAGTCAATCAACTTCAAAACTTTCTGACTGCGCTTGAACACAGTTGTTTTCACAAACTTCCCATGTGCAGCGAGCACAAACGATAGCTGCTGTTCCTTTTGTTTTACTCAACATATTTTCCTGTTATTTTTAATGGTTATAAATGTGAATAATATTGGTTAGCTAGCTGGTCAGCTAATAACAGACTGATGCTGAAGGCCTGCACAACAACTCCCTGCCATTGTTAGCTAACGTTAGATGCATATCAATTAATTCCTCATTATTTGAAGGTCCGGAGGATTTTTCACTGGTTTAGATGAATTTATTTGCTTGTTTATGGAGCTTGAATGGAAGAGGCTTAATGTCTGTGTGATTTGGAGGATACAGTGCACTTGTGTTGTGTTTGAGTGAGTTAGCTTGCTGGCTCAAATAGCCTTTTAGTGCGTCGGTCATTTTTTTCGGATCTTGATTTCCATTGTTCAGCCATAACAACTGACGAGCCTGTCTCTTAAAAACAAACCATAAAACACATTTAACGCTTAGCGATACGAATTATTACCACGTAAGTGTCCTGTTGTTTCTTATTAAACGTTAAAGGTTCGAGTTATTATACTTGAACGCATCTTCAATAGCGAAGTACGTTTCTTTGTTGATGTCTCTAATGTTTTCAACCTTTTGTTCAAATTCGAGTTTGATCCGGTTCTGATACTAAAGGGAGTTTATTGCGTTGCATAAATGTAAACGCATCCGAGTCTAGCGTTTTTTATACACAACATGCTCAGCATCCAATTGTTTTGTCTGTGGAGTTAATGTGTGGTCCCCATCACAGCTGCTTCACTTCATTTGTAAGACCAGCACCGTTTCTGGAGCAGTTTGACCATTTCCACCTGTTTTACCAGTAGCTGATTTGTCAGATGAGAAGGAGCTATTTATGTATATATCAATAAAATGTACACATGTGTTAGGAAATTACTTGCATTCATTTTTTTAAAACGTTTGAATAGATGCAAATGGTAGGTTTTAGTAAATGATTGCAATACTTGGAAGTTTTCTTTAGATATAGTGCATTCTTTTTTTAAAATGAGCAACTGTCACCAGCAAATAACATTTACTTCTGAGTCTAAGTAGCGACTACCAAAAAACTTGACATCCTAATTCAACAACATGCAATCATCTGTGTTTGGCTTCCTGTCAAACCACAGCCAGCCATTTCAGATAGTCAGTCTTTAATAAACACGGCTGTCAGTTATCCAGCGAAGTGGCTGTGGAAGTGTTTGGCACATTATTTTGGATTGAATGACAGCTTTACATAGTGATGACAGGACGTGTCCATTTCATTACACTCAGTTTTAGGATGCACTTCTAAAGTACAAATGAATAAATCACAAACTGTTTTCATAATATGTTGATAGAAAGTCACTGTGGTCTCTTCAATCTCATACCAGGTCACTTCTTCTGATGGAAGAATTTTTGGAAGCCATTTAGCTTCATATGTAATATTATATGAAGGGCCACTCACACCAAGAACTATAACAATAACTATAAAGCGGCCGTCCACACCAATGACCAATGCACAGTAACTTTGTTTATAATGAGTGCATGCTGCAGTTACGTCTAGCTCTTTTTTTTATCGTTCTTCAGCTGGAAAAAAAAGAATTTCTAAAAGCAATTCCAACAATATTTTTATCGTTATTGTATATACAATATATTATCGTTACAGCTATTTTTTGGACTTCTCATAGAATTAGACTGATTATTAAAACTATAGTTTCATCATCCATGGTGTGAACATGCCTTTAGTGTATTTTTTTCATGAGTATAAAGCACTGATTAAACGGACATTGTAAACTAATTTAGGGGCCATTAACATAATGTGTTTGTGTATTCTGTGTAAAAGCAAGGTGTAGGTCAGTGGATTGGAAAAATATGTAAGGTCTAGAGATGTGTTTTTGCAACGCAATTTTAGTACAGTGTTTAGTATATCACTGAATCTATCCTAAGACCAGAATATATTGCATTTTGTTTTTCATCATTAATTTTGCTTCTAAATTCTAATTTCCTGCTGTAGATTTTGGCTCGCTTTTTGACCTGGAGCATGACCTTCCAGATGAGCTGATCAGTTCCTCCGAGCTGAGTCTAGCAAATGGAGGGGACCTCGGCCAGTTGCACTGCAATTTGGGTAGTGGGGGCGGGGCCATTGGAGGAGTTGTGTCCAGTGGCCAGGATGCAGCGGCCAAACACAAGCAGCTCTCTGAACTCCTCCGGCATGGATCCGCATCTGCAGCACAGCAGCAGGGTGCGATGGGTAGCCCAGCAGGAGCCTCAATGGGGCTATTTGGGAGTATGAAGGCTTCTCCAGGTACTCACGGCATGGGCCCGCAAGGGCAGCAGCATCTTTCCCCGCAGCAGGCCACGCTTATGCAACAACAGCAGATGGCAGGGATGGTGGGCAACATGAACAGGAATATGCTCGGACCTCAGAAAGGCAATGGACAGCAACAGCCAGGAGGACCCACACCTCAGCAGCAAAGCATGCTGGGAGCGCAGATGTTGAACGGATCTCCCAGAATAGGACAGCACAACCCGGGCATGGGCAGCAGCAGTAACTTGTTAGCAGAGGCTCTTCAGCAGCAGCAGACAGTAGGAGGTCAGGGTGGACTGAGGGCACAGCAGCCTGGAGCAATGAACAAGGTAAATGTCAGATTTTGTGTTAAGTTTCAGTATTGGACCAATACATTCAAGATGATAAATTAAAGCCAAATGACGACATCTTTTTGGGGCAATAATCCCTCCCTTCCAGCGACCTGTTAGTCACATGAGATCGCAGCAATTAGCAAATAACATTAATCCAATCAATTCCAGATGGACAAAATCAAGCCTCTATTCTGCCTACATTTTTTCCTGTTTGTGTTTTACCCTGATATACATTACAATAGAGAAGAAAGATGATCACAACTGTTTTATGCCAACTTTAATTTTAAAAGTGGCTTTCTCATTTGAAGCACATGGCGATCTGGACTGGAAAGGTGAGTGTTTTTCTCACTGAGTGTAGATTAGTACTTAATAACAGTCAATTCTCTATAATCAGCTTTAAAGGGGTCATATGATGTTGCTAAAAAGAACATTATTTTGTGTATTTTGTGTAATGAAATGTTTATGCGGTTTAAGGTTAAAAAAACACATTATTTTCCACATACTGTACATTATTGTTAGGGGTGATCCGATCAGGATTTTTGAGGCCGATCGCCGATCACAGAAAGCAGTATCTGCCGATACCGATCTTTTTAAAGCCTTCTTTTTATCATTTATAACTATTTATAGTGATACTTCAATCAGGATTTTCAGACATTTATTCAGGGCCTGAATTTCATTTTTGAAAATGGGGGGAATTCCCCTCTTAGTTGACTCTTGTGAGAGGAAAAGCAGCTTTCACACAGGAGTCCGCTACTGATCCGTGGCTGTTTACCACAAACACAACATTTATCCATTAGTTTGATTTAAAATCCAAACATTGTCACTGAACATGCTTTTTCAGCATTGCAATTCTTTTTTTACACAGTACAGTAATACAATCTTTCACAGACATGTTTAAACACAATAAATATAAGCAACACATCATTCAATGCTTTTTACTTTTGCATTTAATTCTAGATTTATATATTAAGTTGCTCAAGCAAGTGGCAAAACATTTAAACGACTTTTCTTACGTTATCACAAACTTACCATTAACAGAAATAGTCAGCTCTACAGTGTGAACACTTTAATCCGTTAACATGAGCGCGGAAAAAATACTCGTCACATACGCACTGCAAACGGAGTAATGTGAACCTGGCGTTATGTGTGTGCGCTGCGAATGTGCATGAGCACACGGTCTCCAGGAGAGTGCGTGGGCGCTGAATGGTTAAACTCACTGGCAAGAATTAAACAGTAATGTAATTTATAAACTTTAGTGACGATGTGACACTGCCTCGATTGTGCAAGTGACAATTCCTGTGTCAACTGTGCAGCGTGCAGCTCGCTTATAGTGCAGACGCGATGTGTGGTGATTTGAAGCCATTTGCGTATTTTGAGAGAGAAAGAGAGAGCGGGCGCAGTGATTCACTCACGCTGTTTGTGAAATTACGTCTCACACAAGGTTTTCAAATGACTTTATAAGTTATTTAATGAAGAAATATGAAGATGAGCACCTCACCTTCAGCTTTTTAATTATTTCACCCTGCGCCGGACAGAGACTGAGATGGTGCCGCTGCATGTCATGCCAAAACTCTCTCTCACGGCAGCGTCATCAGTTTGAGATCGTTTTTTTGAGATCGGCCTTTTTAGAGACCGCCGATCAAACATCCCATCGTGATTATCGGCCGATAGTGATCGGTAGCCGATCAATCGGAGCACCCCTAGAAAATATATATTTCAATACTGTCTCTCGCAGTTATATCGTTGGGCAATTATACTGTATATAAAATGCGGGCATCAGGGAGCCTCTATTAGCATTGAAACCGCTTTCGAATGCACAATCGCTTTTTACTTTCACTTTCGAGATTTGCGATCGCACGTGCTCTGTGTAAACTACAGCGGCAGTACTTACCACACATTTTACAAGATCAGATGCTTGTCAGTGGTGCTCAGGATCTGTAAATCATTCGCCATCATCCTCAGTCATCTCTTGTTTATGTGGTAAGCAGGGGCGTGTCTACGTATGTGGTGGCCAGGGGTGGCACCGGCCCCCCTGAAATCTGGCTGGCCGATTTTTGACAGCCGATATCTTAGAGCAGGGTGGCCGATCTAAAACCGATATATACAAGTATATTTTTATTTTAATTATAAGTTTTATTTATTTTAATTAATGTTTGAGAAACTTGAAATAATTTGAAAATGAATTATATTAAAAATAAATGTGTAAAATAAACATACTTATACTTTAGATGACAA